CCTTGTTAATGGCGGCGATCTCTTTGTGTGACTTTGACCAGGAATTAATTAATGACTGTTGTTTCCCGTACACCAGGCGTCACCAACCTTTTTAAAGTTGACGGCTACATTAAAGCTGGGGTATCTAACTTGGTTTTCTTCATAAAATCACACTTTTGTTTGTTACAACAGAGAGTCTTGTAAAAGTACAATTTTGGAAAACAAAATCAGGGATTATAAATGTTTTTCATGCATTTTGATTTTTAATTTGCTCTTGTGAAGCTTTGAATGAATTGTGCTATATAAATACATGATTCAGACATCCAATCTTCATCTTAAAAAAGTCATTATTTGCCGCTTTGGGCTGAGAGCTGATCTGCTGAGTGGGGAAGGTCCTCTACTTTTTTACTTTTATGTCTGAATGCAAAGGAAATTGCGTGCTTCTGAAAATGAGCAATAAAACTTATTAGAGAGTGAGGAGAGATTTGGATTTTATTACATACTGTAGTTGTTGTTAGTTGAGGCCTTTGTCATTTCAGCTCAGAATGGCGATAGTGCTGTGGAATATCAATGCCAATTCCATAAAACCAGTTGAATCGGGTCAGTTCTATCATATTTGTCGTGCCAATGTCCTGATTGTGTCACTTGGTGAAAAACAAGGAAAAAACCCAATATTCAGGAAGGCTGAATCAAATAATTGAATGAAAGACCGAGGTGTAAATCCAAACAGAATTTAGGATACAGTCGTCGCCGCCCTCTTGAAAGTAGCTCCCTAAAGGATCATATCACATGCTTACAGCTATCGCTAAAGGTGAAGGTGCACTTTATTAATCCCTGTAGGGAAATTCATTTTCTGCATTTTAGTGGTAGAGGAAACCGGAGCACCCGGAGGAAACCTACGCAGACACGGAGAGAACATGCAATTTCCACTCAAAAAGACCCTGTGGATTCGAACCCAGGACCTTCTTTCTGAGAAGCGAGAGTGCTATCCACTCGGCCGTGCTGCCCACTTTAGCATAGACCACTAGTCCTTTGTGATAGATTGTTTTATGGGTATAAGACTGCATCATACAAAAACTTTAAAATGTTATAAATTGTTATACGTGTCTCAGTGTGGTAATTACCATGTTCTTGTACAGTTCTTCATTCTAGTCCTAAAACGTTGTGTTACTGAGGGTGAGATGTGTGCAGCAGTCCACTAAAGCACACTATAGCAGCTCAGAAATGACTGCCTTTATTACACTACATAAATGTGTTTGCACCGCACACTGACCTCGATCAAATTTTTAGAAAAGGCTTCATAATAACTCAATATTAAGATATGTGAAAAACTGACTTTTTTCTATATTTTCCATGACTCGGGTAAAAAAGTAGACGTTATAGTCCAGGCTATAGAAGCGCAGTGGCCCTCAGAGGAGAAAGGCGGAGGAGGCGCAGTCTTCAAAACACCTTGGTTTGTCTCCACAAGTCAAAGGTGAAGACTCTCAATGCCTCCATCAGGGCAAAACAGAAAGGAAGGAATAACTCGAGGTTACAGCGCCAATAGAGTTTTTTCAGAGACGAGCGAGCAGCTAAATGAAAACTGGAAAACTTGCTTTAAAAACACAGTGACTTTTGTACCATGTGTCAATCTATAATACATTATAACATTGAAACTTCATATATTTTTGTCAAGGTCTGAACAGGATTGTGCCGAACAATATCAACATTTTTTTTACATTCAGTATTCATTTGAAGTGAACTGGAGTAGCCACTGTAGAACTTTTGTGGTAGTCTTTATACATGATTTTCAAAAGGAATAGCAATTTCCGCAGATGGGACCACACTCAAAAATGCATTGCAACGCATATCACAGATTTTAAAAAGAAAAAATAGGGAAAAATGCAGAAACCAGAGGAGAGCATTGACATCAGAACTGCTTTAAAAACCACAAAGGAAGACAACTATAAAAAGGTCAAAATCTGTAGAAAACATTATGATTTTGAACTTTTAAAAGATACACAATGTGAAATGACGCTATTGCAAATTCACAAAAATGAATTCAGATCCAAATTCCAACCACTTTATCTGAAGCTGCCACAACAACGACAACTTACCATACAAAAAACTGCGCTGGGAGAGAAAATGTCTAAAAGCCTACATAATGCCTCTTTAAGCCCCTTTTAAAACGCAGACTTAGAGCTGTCTTCAAATTGTCAGTACGCGTCAGTCCCGCCGCTGACGTCCTGTGCCTGTCTGGTTGGAGGTGGAAGAGACACAGTGGATTTATGTGATCTTACAAGCCATCAGAGTGAGCAGAGCGGGGCTAAACATGACCTGAAGTGTGCCGGCCCCCCAGCAAACGCCACTGTCACCTTCGCCAACTGGAGCTGTCGTTCCGCCCAACAACCCAGCAGATCTGACAGCTGTGGTGTTCCTAAAACAAATCACTGCTGCTTTTGGAAACACTTCACAACCCGCAGACGGAGGCCGGACAGAGACGAGAGGTTGATGTCATGATTTAGGAGTGAATGACACATTATTAGTATTTAAATAAGTAAGCAGTATGTATTTGTAACCCATTAAGACAATAAAAACATGCAACATTAGTTCATTATCTTTAGTCTCACGCCATGACACGCCCTATTTTCTGTTTAGGCAGAATTGTGCAAACATTTCGGGACGGATTGATTGATTGGTGGGGTATGTGGTCTCCAATTGCATTTATTAGATTTAAACAAAAAAATAAGTGGAGAGAAACATTTTAAGGGGTACAACAGATATAACGTGTGCGTGCCAAACTGTACGTTGTGAAACATTATTATCAATATGAAGAATATAATACAAAACATTTAATCTAGTCGTTTCTGAACCAGGGTTTTACAGATTTCTGCAGATTTTCAGAATATATAAAAAGTCAGCGACAGACGTAGTGATAGAATTTTGTTATATATTTGGTTTAAATGAGGAAATTAGCTTTACTTACTATGAGAAATAAACAAGAACCGATGCATACTTCTGTCTATACTATTTCGCTTTTATTCCATTACTGCTGTTTTTTTTTACTCATTGGTCCGTTAGCTGTCCGATCAAATATAACACGTAAATGTAAAAACTGCTCATGTGATCAACTGCTCTACGGCAGTGATTCAAACCCTTACTTAGTTGAAAATTGTTTTTTTTTATTGTAAAATCACGTGGTTCTGGTTGGTCCAACAGTGCAATTCACTGAGACTTAATTCAGAAATGTCACGTTGGAAATCTTGTCTTAGGCGATGTCCTGGTTGAAAATCAGGTATCACACAAATACCTGATTCTGCAGTCAAAGTTAATTGACTGCAGAATTAATGACTTTTTAAGTGAGTGAGGTGCCCAGCAAGGAGAGCTTATAGTAAATATGTAAAAGAGTGTGAGGAACATAGTCTGTACACGTTCTTGGTTTCCGATAGAGAGTAATGACCTGAAGTGTCATTAGAGATACTGTGAAAAAGTGCATTTTGTTCCGCAGCACTCACAAATTGTCATTAACTACCTTCATTTTCTCTTTGTCTCCTCAACTCCTGCAGATCAGACAGGCTAAGGTGAAGGTTCATAAGAGAAAGTTTTAACTAGACGGCTGATTGAAAACTTCAGACCAGAAAATGGGGATTATGAAAACAACACAATAAAGTCATTCAGCCAAAGTATTTATTGATAAATCTAATCGTAAAGTGCTCGTCTAAATAATATGTATTTTTCTGTTTTCTTTGTGTTTTGTAAAGAGTATTCTTCCTAAATGACGTTTTTAATGAGGACACGCACACATGGAGCCGCTGCACACAAATGGACCTGTCAGACAGAGTTTAAATACTGATTTTTGACTATTTGTTCCTGAGCTGTTTTTAGACATCAAAACCGCGAGCAAGTGAGACGTGGCTTCCATTGAAGTGTTGTTTTTATGTCACACTCGTTACCAAAGTATCCATAGCCTTTTGAAAAACAGTAGTTCATCTGTATTCATATTTCCTCCTTTACATTGGGAAACTTTTGACAGATTATTGCTTCTAACTTGATTAATACAAATGTGTCTAAATGTTATTATTATTGGTTTGTCATTTGTGTACACAAGCAAGGCTGGTACAAAGTAAATTGTTTTAGATCAATAGCGTTGGTTGCCGTATCTTAGTCTATTTCAAGAATTTGTGGCACTACAAGAGGCATTTCCAAACCACAGCCCCCGATCTAAATACGGCCCTAAGACCAATTTTTCTTGGTCCTTAAGATTGCTTGTAAACATACATTTCTTGTGACATTACTCCGTGCTGGAAACATTCAACAACCAATTTATTCTACAAAAATAATGGTATTGACCTTCTTTGCCAAAATACAGATCTGTATTTAGGCGCGGAATCTCAAATTCATCTGTTATATTTTGATAACAATCATTTTTTTATGTAGTAATCATTAGTCCATGATCCTTGATTGGCAATCTTCTTCAATCGTCAGAATTCAAAGATCCTGATAAAAATAGTTTGGACTCTATTATTGATGTTCTAAACTTGGCAGTCTTCTGTAAAAGGCATTTATTGACTGAAACGTTGGGTATATCCCCAATGATACCCAATAATCTCAATGTTATCAATGTATCTGTGTGGCAATCATGGCTAGTACAACTCAAAGCACTTGAAGTAACAACTTAACAACTAATGTTTTAAAAAAAGGAAATACATATGTCTTTGTATTTCTATTTATATCTAACATATATTTCTTTCTCATTGCCTGGCAGTCTTCTCATTGCAAAAGGCCATTCAAATTGACACTTCCTCCAAATGTCAATCCCCTTTCACAACACAAATTAGACCCCGTTTGAGGGCACCAAAGTTCTAAATGCCAAAACTATATTATTATTTCCAAGTCAATATATTTGCACGATTGGAGATGCATTCGATATATAGTCTTCCCCATAGTCCATACCAGTGTTTGAGAGCAGTAACCACATTGTTGTGTGCTTGTTGTGTCTGCAGCAGCCGGTTTGGAGGAGAGGCTTTGGTTCCACTACACAGATGAACAACAGAAAGGAGGACATGGAGATCTCGTCTCACTATCGACAGCTCCTGCGGGAGTTGAACGAGCAGCGGCAGCACGGCATCCTGTGTGACGCCTGTGTCATCGTGGACGGAAAGATCTTCAAGGCCCATAAGAACGTCCTGCTGGGCTCCTCGCGCTACTTCAAGACCCTCTACTGCCAGGTACTTTACAGAGGAGAGGCTTTAGGCTCTACAGTACGACTAGCACCATAGAAACGTGTCTGCCTTTACAATCTGCGAGGCTGTTAAGTGATGATGTAGCCTTAAACTTGCACTTTCAGGGTCCATGCTAAAGCTAATTGTAAACAATTCAGTCTATCTGCTTAATTATTTACTTTATAAGGTATAAATACAACTACTACAACACAATTTTGTCCTTTCTTTGGCTACCGTAGCATACTTATGAAGGCGAAAGGCTGTTAGAATAAAGTTAGCTTAATGATACCTTACCTTACAGCTAAACCATCCTGCTTAGTCAACATTTGCATATATGTTTGTGTTTGTGAACTGTACACAGCATACATCTGGTATAGAATCAAAAAAATAATCAGGAATTTAGTGTAAAGTTACAACAATATTGGAAGAGAGAAATGTATCTTTCTTGTAATACTTGAATTAGGCTTGGTTATAGCTGCAATAGTTCTTGATACAGATTTTTTTTTCCGTCACAACCAATTTTTAGATAGTTTTATTTTTTTCCCCAGGTGAAAAAAGGATCTGAGCCTCCTCACCAGATGACCGTCACTCACCTGGACATCGTCACGGCAACAGGTTTCAAAGCCATCTTAGACTTCATGTACTCCGCGCACCTTGCCCTTACCAGTAAAAACGTCATAGAGGTTATGTCTGCAGCGAGTTACCTGCAGATGACCGACATTGTCCAAGCTTGTCACAGCTTCATCAAAGCGGCTTTGGACATCAGCATCCGCTCCGAAATGGCCGACGAGCTGGCGGACTTTGAGATGGGGGCGGTGGCTGCGGCCGGGCTGGGAGGTGGTATTTTATCTGGAGCTGGGAGTGTAGTTGGGCCAGGACTTGGGGGAACTGGTGGAGCCATAGTCGGGATGGCATCCGAAGCGTTAGCATCAATAATGTCCGGACGCAGCACTTCTCCCTGGCTAGCTCGCCGCACAAGCCCTGCAAACTCATCGGGGGATTCGGCCATCGCGAGTTGTCACGAAGGCGGAAGTACTTACGGAAAAGAGGACCAAGAGGCGCCCAAAAGCCATGAGAGTCAAGAGGAGGCCTGCCATGACTCGCAGCCCGCCTGGCCGCATGACTATAGGCCCGTCACTGTCAAAGAAGAACAAGTGTCCCCCGCGTCATCTTCACACCCGCGAGACACGCAAAGAGGTGCTGCCCAAAGCCAGACGGAGCAAGGCGTGGGGCAAACGGGAAACGGAGATGGACCTTGGCAACCGCTGGCGGGATCGGGCAGAAGGAAGAACAGAAAGAACAAGGACACGGTCAGGCATATTACCCAACAGGCAGAGCAACACTGGGACAAAGAGCGGGACCGAGAGAGGGACAGTAGACCTGGGTCGCCTCTGCCCTCCATACTGGCTGTGGCCGGATGGAACTACAATGGACAAGAAATCCCAGGTAAGAAAAGTAAAAAGAGTAAGAGGAAATTAAATCAATTTATACTTTCAAGAGAGATTTTACTGGATGTCCCACCTCTCGTTTTTCCCAGTATTTTGGTTTTCAATCTTCTCTTGTCTTTCGCCAGTGTGTAGGAGACCAAATTTAGGGGTCCTATCATCACATCCTGAAACATAAAATGGGACATTGGGTGAATAGCAATGAACAGACAATGGCTAAAGACATATTGATGACAGATAGAGTAGGAGACAAGAGAGGATAGTGCCATACTTCTCCCAGAAAACTGTTTCCATGTGTAGCTTGACTGACAATCTGTATTTTTTAACTGAAGGTTATATTTCTGTAAGTCTAACGTCCCTAACCATATGCTAAATTAAAGAGGTCTGTAATAAGCCTGGCCTTGAATGTAGAGACCGTGTCTACTTTCTCAACGTGGACAAGGAGCTAATTCCACAGTATAGAAGCTTGGTCGCTAAACGCTCTGCCTCCTACTGTGCTTTTTGACACCAGACGTCTGGCGTTTTGCGAGTGCAGTGCCTGGTATGGTTGATATGGTACTACTGTGTTTTGGAGGTTGGAGGGAGTCATACTATTTATAACTTGAATTGTCCCTTGCCAAAGAAAAGGCATAAGGATGGAGAATGCTCTGTGACATTCATTCATTTGTTTTATTCTTGAGAACAATGGTCCATATGATCAATTTCTTGAAGCCCTTCAGGATGACTACTGGCTGTGAAACTAAACTATAATGTGGGACCAATGTATGATTCAGACTAATTATATGCAAAGTTACATATTTCAAGCCTTTATTGTCCAGTTTCAAAATATTCTAATTATCTTTTTTCTGGCCAATTATCAACAGCTATAATGAAAAAAATACTTATATATTAGACTTTGAGTATTGTGAGTCTGTGTTACATTGTTAGTTGAATTGCAGAAATTGACTTTTTCCCAATTTTCCTTTTTTTTTAAACTTTCACCTATATGTATTTTCAAACAACCTCTTGTTTTCTTTTAGCAGAGATAATAGCAAGTTTCTTCTCATGCGATAGTCCTAGGAACTAGAGGTAAATGTTAATATCTGTGCAATGCAACCCTTTCTTCCTGCTCTAAATATAACACTTGGGATTATTGAATGTGAGATTATAGAATGACTTTACCCTTTTGAATGCCTAGAAAGCACACCTGTCCTTACGATGTGGGCTTGTGTGGGGCCCACGGCGTCAATAGGTAGATCATTAAAAGTAAGAAAAGCTAATCCTGGGTGCATTAAGGGAGTTGGCTGTGAAATGGGCACACGCGTTGTGCAGCAAAAGAAAACAGGATAATTGAATTGACCTGGGTCACTACACGGATTACCAGGGAGTCCTTGCCATCCCAGACCCCACCCCCTTCTCTCATGCTCTTCTCTCTCTCTCTCCGTTCAACTCTGGGGTTTAGAAAAGATCTCCAGAAGGACACAAGCAGAAAACTAGAAAAATTAGAAGTGGGTAGAGAAATTTAGAAATCAAAGCAGGTAGTGATTGGAAAATAATCTCTGGGAAAAAATAACTTTGTAAACTTGAGTATTATTATAGGTTAAGATGAAGACTGTATTGTTCTTAATCAAGTAATTAACAAGAAGACGATTTTTGCATGGAACTGTTGGAGCAGGGGGGCCCAAACATTTTAGATGTGTTGGGTCTCATAAGGGCATGAAAACACATTTTAAATAATCACTTAATGTCATGACGCAAACAATAACATAAGTCTAATTATGGATTGCATCAAGTGCCATTACTTACCGCCATTACGCAGTGCATATATTTTTTACAATACGGAAAGTGATGAAAAGAACTGCCCCAGAACAAGATTTGCCAATGGGAAAAGGTAACTGATCTTGAAGTAAGACTAAATGGCTTTGTCCCATTGGCAAATCTTAAGATAAAGATAAACACATGTAGCAGACCAAACGGGAGAGGGATGACAGAGACAGCAAAAGGCAAATTGTAGTTGGAGATTCGTTGGAGAAAAGTGAGGTCCCCGTTTATTTATAGAGAACCAAAACCCGCGAAACATAGGTCACAAGACAACACACATGCGCACTAGTGTAATACCTAAAGGTCGTTTACACAAATTAAGATAAAAACCATTCAAATTATTTTTTGCAGTGTATAGACTATATTCTTTCACCAAATTCAATAGAGGCTCCTTACAAAGTACAGAACAGAATTTCAGGTCACCTCTTTGAGAAAGACCAAATAATACTTTATTCCATTTCTCCAATAGAGAATACAGCAAAGGCATAATAAGATTGGATATGAGTGTTCCAGTTTTGTGTCGGTACAATACAAAAGGCGGTTTCTGTGTGTTCAAGTGGGTCTTAAGTGAAACTACTTTAGTGAGGTTCAAGGTCTCTGATTATTTCTTCGGGGCAGTGGACTTCAGGGTGTAGTCAAGTTGTCTAAAAGAGTAAATTGAAACTGTAGTGCAGGGAAATTATGGTCGGGATTTGCAGGGCTTTCGTTGTATGTAGTATGTGAGGATTAACTTCCTAAGAACCTGTTGCTAAGAACCTTAGCAACATTGGTTTTCACACCTACGGCAAAAATACCAATGGCGTGTGGACGCAAGGAAGGGCAGGGTTCACCGTTCTATTTAAAGTACTAAAAGCAGAAACCAAGAATGTTATAATCAAGGAGCCAGCGAGATCTGATCATGTAACGGCCGGTGTGGTGGAACACAAGCATTATGTGATGAGGCAGAGATTATCAGGCAAGACATTACTGTAGGTAAAAACTGAAGCTGCTAATTAACAAACCCAAGGTGCATCAGTAGGATTGTTGAAGAGCTGGTGGTTCTGCTGGTTTTACACCTCTACCCTTGAGTAATGTGATTATCTCTGTCTAAAGAAAACTCTATGAATAACAGTTTTTGTTTCATCGCCGCTTGTAGGATTTGAAGCAGAGTGAAGCTCATATTAACTGTATTTTGTCCCAGATGTATACTACAGGTAAAAGGGAGAGAGAGAGAGGGCACCTTCACTCACTAAGATTAACCTAATTGCTTCATTCCTAATGGATGATAGAACTTGTTGCCACCGATTGCAAACCAGGACTTATTAACATGATTTAATTTGGGTTCTTGGATGTTAAATTGGAATTATTTTTCATATTAAGGACTTAGGACATTCTATACTTCAACTTTGTTTGACATGTGCAGAAAAAACAAAACAAATATTTGGCTGTTTACTGCAGATGCTGCAATCAATCAAACCTTGGTAAAAGGTGCTCTTGGAAAAACAGGGCAAGTCTTAAAAAACTAGAAGCTCTCCACTCTCTAAGGCTATATCCACACGAAGACAAAACGCTTATAATTTCAGAAACTTTTTCTGTAAACACGGAGTTAGCTCAGTAAATGTGTGCGTCCATATGAATGTAGTCAATACGCCTGAAAACGCTGTGAAACTATGCCAGACCTGTTGGTGGCGCTGTGACGCAATGACGGGATCAAGCCCAAACTTCCGTGGGCATGCGCGGAATTTTGTAAACAGACAACATGGCGAGTGGGCGAGCTGGTACTACATTAGTATGGACGGACGATGAGGTTGAACTGTTGCTTCGGGTCACACTGGATTACAAAACCAACAAGCTACATTGTTGTTGTCATCATTTTCTGAGTGCGGCGCATGCGTGCTTTAACAAGAGGCGGGGCGATGACGCAAGCGTCTCAGATACATTGCGGAGAGGCAGTAACCACGGAGCGGCATATACAGAGTTTTGAAATCTTTCCACTCTGGGACCTAGTTTCAAAAATGTTCGTTTACACCCCCCCAAAACGCCGGCCTCGTATGGACGATACACTGGATTGATAAAGTATTTTTGCGTTTAGGCCTGAGCTTGACTTCGTGTGGACAGGGCCTAAAAATGGATTGGTTAAAGCATCAACAAAAACTACCAATCTTGCAAAACAGCAATGTACATGTTTTCAACCATATTTTTTATATTGTTTGCACCCACCAATGAAAATTGGTCATTCTGAGAGCAGTATTTATTTATATAGCACATTTCACAGACCAAGATCACACAAAGCGCTTTACAATTTTGGTGTACCAAAACTTCCCACTCACTCCACACACAGTGGCATCAAAGCCAGAGTGTATAGTTATCAGTCCAATCAATATCCATCCATCCATTTTCTTGCCCTTAATCCATGGCTGGATTTGATCTTTCAGTGGGGGCTTCAGGCAAAGTGGGGTTAAGTGTCTTGCCCAAGTCCACATCAACAGCAGACATCAGTGGGAGTCATGAAGTAGGTCTCGTGGTGGGCTCGACCCCATGACCTTCAGGCTCAAAGGCCAATGCTCTACCAACTGAGCCACTGTCGCAACCAATATAAATCTGTTTAACTAATTTGACCAATTTGATGCTTGTGAGCCAATCTCTGGGTTCAAATCCGGGTATGAAAGGGGCTTTTGCATGTTGTCCCCATGTCTGTATAGGTTTCCTCCAGGTGCTCCAGCTAGCCCTACCATTAAAAACATATACAACAGATAAAATCTTCCAGCTCTAGTCCTTGTCACTGGATGCTACTCTACAGCTCTACTCCTGGCCTTGCAGGATGGGTCAAATGCAGAGGACAATCTTTACTACAAGGACGATAAAGTTTAAGTTAATGTAATTATGTATGTTAATAAAATTACCCAAACGTTTAAATTGAGTAAGCACGAGAGAAATAGAAAAATCAGATTTGTATGGATACTTACCTCTCATCGTAAATTCTTCACAAACTCAAATACATTTTCCACTTTTTCTCCCATTTCTGTTCATGCGTCTTCAAATATTTTGAATCCTGCATGCTCCGCTCTGTATAAGACGTGGCAGATTTAGACGTTTGAGTTTTAAATAGTCTCGACTTATTCTTACTTATGTCTTAAAGCTTTGAATAATTACTTACAATTATTTTTAGTCTGCCCCCCGCTGTGCAGAGCAGAGCTGTATTCAAAAGCATCTGAAAATCAA